ATGAGTGCCTGCACGCGCCCCTGCGCCGAGTTAAGCTCCTTCTGAATCGCATCGATGTCTTCAGCCGAATGAGCCGGAGATAACTGGTCGTCTTCATGCGGGGCTGTTGATGTTGCAGAGATCGTGGTAACTCTTGCCCTCTTGTGACTCGGTCCTGCTTCAGCAGCGTTCGAAGGCGATCGGTTGATTCGACGCTTGCGTTCAGGTCTGTCATCTAAGGGCAATATTCCCTCGGCTTGCAGAAAATCTGCATGTGTATGCGTAAATCTTACAAGCATTGGGGTCTCAGGATTCATGATACGACTCACCCTTGTAGCGATAGCGGAAGATGAAGCATGAATAAAAGGGTTCCTGCGCATTGACTAACTTTACAGGCTGTTTGCGTAGGTTATCGCATTTGCGAGCATCTCCTAGCCTGTAGATTCAGGCCAATGTTGTCGTTAAGTTGCGTGCGCGAAAACCCTTTTCGTAAGGCTGGTTCCACTCACGAGACGCATTGCATACCCATTTTCTTGCTTTTTCGTGCACAATTCCAAGCTTGAACTTATCTGTACTGTCGTTGCTGCGCGCCTGGCTACTACCAAGTTTGATTACATGGGCGAGCCGCACTTCAATAGTGCCAAGGCCTGGCCGGGCTTCTGAGCTGACACCAATAGCATCGTCATCTAAGAAGTAAGTTAGCAGATTAGGGGCGGCATTTTCAATTCAAGATCCATACCTGTCGTTGCCAAGGAGGCGAAAGTATACGGTTTTCGCTGGTTTTTCGCGCATCTGATGCCCCAATAACTATCCTCGACAGCACGGAGGCGAGAGACTGCACCGCCAGCGTGTTGACCATCGACATAGAACTTCAGCCATGTCATGTGTGAGTCGTGTGTGGTGTCTCCGCGCCAGCAGATCTCGAATGTCTGTAGTTACTCAGTCTTGGAGCAGTTGGAGAAGAGACACGCATTATGCACCTTTCCAACCTCACTAGGAATATAGCACGCCAGTGTCTTGTCGTCTACGGTTTCCACTAGGTATTCAGGCAATTCGCGGCCATCGCTCTTGATATACACCTCGAGATTGCTCGGCCCTCTACGCATGTCTGACAGTACTCGAGTATTGTGTGAGCAACGCGTAGAACATACGTATATGAGTAACACGCGAGCAGAAGGAGAGCCGGACGAGTCTTCCAAATGGCTGGAAGAATGAGTGGCAGCCAACGGGAACAATGGAAATGTGGCTACCGCGGCGGTGACCCGACATAGGCATCCCAGAAAGGAGATGCCGCCACCTCGGGTGTTGCCGTGCTACACTGACGTCCGTGCTGCCAAAGAAGCAGTACGGTAACCATCCCGCTCGCCATGCAACCATATTCCCGGTTCACCCGCTCTCCGACTCTCTCGCCTGGTGCATTGCGGCCAGCCTCAACCCTGCGAATATCAGTAGAAATATTACTAGACGACTAGTCCTCTCGACGGCAATTGGTTTCACTGCGCCATGCCTCGTCTCCGCATCCTCGCTGGGCCGTCTCTCGACGAACTCACGCCGATTGAGGCGAACTCGGACAGAGCTGTGGAATTCAAGGGCGATGTATTTCAGGGAAAAGTTGCAGCGTATATCAAAGGCTTTGCAGACCCGAGCGGGGACGTCAGTGACAGTGCCTACTTCGAGAAGCGGACGGGCGTAACATGGAGCATCCAGGTACAAGGTGAGCCGCGTTGTTCTCAGAAAAGTATCGGAAACTGAACCGACTCTACGGATAGGTAGATTTCTTAAGCAGTATTCCGCAGACGACGTTCTCTTCGGCAACGTCTTTGAACGACCACTGAAGCTCCCGTGGGGATTCAGTGCTGCTCTGAAATTCATGAAGTACGTCGCCATCCTCGTAGTCATAATATAATATGTATGCCGGACCGGGATCTCGGCCACCCTGAGCATTGCTCGACTCCCTCTCAACAATTTCGCACAATCACCCACACGATCCATATGTTACCTGCTCGTGTACATATTGCATGAGTGTGAGGTACTCGACTCACAGACTCGTAACCTAACTCGGCCGAGATCCCGGCCAGATACAGTATGCGCGACGGTCAATGACGTGCTCACTCTTTCCACGTAGCTTCGTCGACCCTACCCTCGAACAGGACCTCGCGTCCAGCAGCAAGCCATGGGCCCTTTCGCCGCTCATCTCGACGATGCCCCACCTCGAGCACAAGAGGATCAACGGTCCTGAAGACGTACCGTCCTTCCCAGCCGAGACGCTCATTGGCGACGATATATCCCAGCTGCAGCCAGCCAGTGCGAAGAAGACGGACGCGTCTGGCGAGCGTCGTACGTTCTTCAAAGATGCTTCTCGCAGGAAAGAAGTCGTGTTCGGTCCCGAGGTACGCACGCTCATTCATGTCCTCTGCGGCCGTACCGACAGCATCGCGTCTGCGCAGGACCTGATCACTGCCGATTTCTGCTACGACTATCTGCGCTTCAGCCCGCAAGGCGTCGAGCTCCGGCTCCCGGGCGGCATCACGATTGACATGATGAAGTACTGGGACGGACAGCGCGTGCCGTTCGTGTGCTGCGAGCGGTTGCATCCTGGCGACGAGCATAGTGAGCCGTGGGGCCGGGTCTTTTGGTGTATCGTTATCGAGGCGGTGGACGAAGATGAGGTGGTGGGTGCGCGTGGAGGGGATGTCGATTGATGCCTAGTCGCATAGATCTGTATTACTGGACATTTCTGACAGTGGACTGCTGGCTCATGTATACTGTGACGAAGTACATCCAGCGCCGGCTGAGTGCGAAGGGTACATTTGAGGGTGAGTGAAAGCGTATAGCATGCCCTTTGACAATACAACCTGTATATCACATTGTGGTTACTACCGCAACAGATTATCCATGTCCGATCATGCGATCCTCAACCAACGTCGGAATAATCGTCGGCTTACAGGATAAGTACCACGTACCGCCTATGAGCATACGTGCTATTCAACGAGACTTTCACTATTTGAGTCAAATTCCATAGAGTAAAGTAGATTAGACGGGGAGAGGCACTGGCCCTCGGCGTCCGGATTGGAAACAACATCCTATTGGCATCAACAACGGTTTTATGTGCTGTTTGCAGGCTGCGTCCGAGCAACGAGCGAGGGGCGGTCGACGATGCGGGTGAGCTTCGCCTCGATCCGGTCCAGCTGCCTCTTCATAACCTTCATGTCCTCAGACATCTCCTCCACCTGCAAGCCTATCACCTTCATCTCGGTCTGCACGCCGTGCCCCGTCAGCCGTGTCTTACCCATCCAGCGAAATTCAGAGGGCTGCGCACCTTCAACGAGCGCACCTCAGCGTCGTCGTCATCGTCCTCATCTTGGTCTCCGTCGACGCCGATGGACGGCTTGCTGCTCGGAGGCCGCACTGCGATGGACTGGGCCTCAGAGGGTGCGTAGATGCTCCCTGCGCGACTCGGCGCCTGGAAGGGATACGGGCCCGCGCTGGCTAAGCTGCCCACACTGCTGATACTGTTCGGCCGGGACGCAGCGGGTGCGACTGGTGCATATTGCGACGGTCCGGCCTGGAAATGGGGGCCGCTGCTCCCGAGACGAGGCACGTATTGACCGGGGGCCTGAGGCCATGGCCCTTGAAGCTGGCCGTGGTGCAGCCTCACGGGCGTCGGAGCGACCGGCTGAGGGATTAGCGGCCGTGTCATTGCACGTATTGATCCCAGCATATCTATTGGGAACGACGCATGGTTGAGTACACTGCTCATGGGCTGGCCGAGGAACTGGATCACACGCACGATGGGGTCTATACTGGAAACGGAATGTCGCGAAAGGGTATTCCGGAGGATCCACTGGCTCACTCGCGGTCGGGATGTTGTCAAGCACAGGCTCTGGCGAACCGAGTCTACAGGGGCAGTCCTTGCGTAAGCCAAATTCAGCGCGAGAGGGGCGCTCGTCTTACACTGTGCAGTGCATCGCCTTACTCTGCTCGCCCACCAAGACTGCATACTTGAAGAGAGCTGCGTCGACGGAGGACTGCACGTAGTCGTGTGGCCAAGGACGCGCCTGCCCCGCTCTGCAGCGCCACACGCGAAGCTCGATGAGGCCGAGGTGGCTGGGATCCGGGACCATCCATTGTATGTCGGGGGCTAGTGTCATAGCCCGCGCACGGTGAGGTTTGGCCATCTGTATGTGGGAGCAGCGCACTTACAGGCAAGGGCAACCTCTTTGAACAGGAAGGGCAGGATCAGGTTCACCCCCGCGCGCATCTGGAAGGCCGGGCTGTCTTGCAGCGGCGGACACCCGCACTTCTCGACGATGCATCGCCCGTCGATGCTGCACTGCACTGCGAGCCACCAGTTCGTCTTGTTGTTGCACCGCAGGCGGTGCTCCTGTCGGTGCCGGGAAAGCAGCAGTGGTGAGTGGCGTTACATGCAGATTGACGAGCGCACGGGGGTGGGACTCGCCTTTCCTTGCACGCTCGCGACGAAACAAGACATAATATTGTTGCACTCCTTCTTCACGTAGTATTCGTCGATTCGCGCGCCATCGCACTCAATATAGAAGTCGTAGTCGTAGTCGGCGGCTGAATGGGTCTGGAGCGTTCCGCTGGGGAGCCTGAAATCGGGGACGTCGCTTTGAAAACGCATCGAGGGTCACAACGATAGTGCGTAAAGTCGGAGTATTTGTACAAGGAGGGGAGGGCGGCGAGAAAGGGGGACAATGAGTACCATCCGATGTGTAAGGCTGCATTATGCTCTTGCCACTGCGGTTTGCCACTCAGTGGGTCAGGTAGTACTACGTCCGACTTGCCGCTCACAAGGTTCGCATTAACACGCGAGGGTCGTTCTTTGTCAAGTCGATGTGGCAGGACATCAGAGTCATCGTATTGTACGGTTGGCGATGCTGTCGAAGACTCCGAGTCGAAAGTACTTGAGTCGACGACTCGAAGGCATCGTGAACGCGCTGTGTCACGTATCACATGGTCTGTCACACCCAGCTGCCGCCGGGCCACCTGCCATGGTTGCCAGGGAACCGTCGGATACGACCCGCAAGTGCCTGGGCCAGTCCCAGGCCAGTCCGGTAAGTTCTCCCAATATCGCGTCCAAGATAGGATGTGCCGTATTGCTGCAGTACGGTCGAGCGAACGCCCCGCGAACTTGAAGCGCATGCACTAGACCGCTGTCCGAGTCGAGCACGTACGCTCGTCGGAGAAGTTGATGGTAGCCAGCTCGATAGACGTCGCCGTGAAATCGCTGGTATCCCAACCCGTGCCCGACAGGTTCAACACAGCAGCCCGGTCGACTGCGCGCAGCTCGAGCATGAACCGCGTGATCAGGATTGAAGAGATCCTGTCCGGGCGGGTCAGTAGCGGCGCGAGGCTGCGGGGTGTGCACTGGTACTGACGGCCCGGTGAACGTGGCAGTGTAGTAGGCGTTCACCTTGGGCGCCGGTCAGAGGGTGACACGGTGAGATGCACGGTGATCACTCACTGTTTGTGTGCCGAGCGAGGTTTCAATCACGATTTGTACGACGTTGAGTACCAGCAAGCATCTGATGTGGTACGCAGGTGAGGAATTGTCATTCACTAGAGTCAGTTTCTGATCCATACGTGAAGTAGATTGTCCCTGCACAGCTCACATTAGCGTCGGTGAGCAGTACGCAGTCGTTGTCCCACCTTGTTGTAATATCAACTTGACAAACCTTCCTCTGAGTTCTCTTCGGTCGAGCACGACGCCGGAGAAGTACCAAGTACAGCTGAGCACGACCAGATCCGAGAAGATGGCGCAGACCCGGACCGCAAAAATCACTGCAAGGCACGAGTCATCAATTGAACACGAGCGAGAACAACACTAGTTAACTGAAGGTGGTTACATCTATGGCCTCATATACGTCAGATCGGACGCAAGCATGCTGCAGGTCCCAACTACGCACCGGGTATTCAAAGCGTCCGAGAATGTCGTGGCTTTCGTGCATATCGGGATAGAGCCGACAAACATGACGTAGGCCCGCGACGATCGTATGTCAGCAAACTAGTAGTCGATACGTGAGCATTCATTCAGCACTTCCCGTAGAGGACGAGTGAGAGCCTACTTACTAATGAAACCGGAATGGCGACGATCGCCGCTGTTAGGGCTATCCCCGCTGGCCACCAGTTTCGATGGCTAACAGCGTAGACACGGAGGGCAGAGAACCCTGCAGATACATCGTCACTTATCGACGAATATGTGATGGAGACGATGGTTGTGCGCACATGCAATGACAAGTATGAGGGCGATGGTCAGCGCGTATTGCAAGTCGTACAACCATTCACAGCTTGGGGCAAGGATTCGGAGTCATTTGCGAGTGCACAGCCCAGTGGGGAGGACCATTACCTCTGGGACATGACGTCAGGCAAGACTTTTCTCCCAGGACGACGTTACTCACCGTGGCATCTCTCCAGTCAAACACAGACAGTATTCCTAATGCGGCAGACAGGAGGAGAATGTATCGGTTCACGAGGAACAAGACCGTGACTCCTGTGAATGTCCAGTCCCACATATATTCGACCTCTTGTTCGAGGAGAGCCAAGTGCTCATAGATGATCAGCACTGAACGTTGAACGGTGTACGGAGTCAGAAGCATAGTTCGCTGGGTCATACATTAGTACTCACGACTCGCGGCGAGTTGACAGTATGCCTGAGGAATGCTATGCATGTAACTGTGAGGAAGCGTATCCCCATGTCAGTGAATACACGAACGCCACGCACGTTTGGTCCAAGAAAGGGATCAGGTCTGCAGCTGTTGGTGGGGCGTTCTTCGTGGACAGCATTTCGACCGATCGAGTGTGGGTGGAAGATCCTTGTGTACCAGCTGCGGGCCCCTTAAACGACCAGCGACAAGACGTCACGGTGTGCGGCCATCGCCGGGTTCTTCGGAGAGAAGGGGGCATATCGACTGCCGAATAGGAGAAACATCGCGCAGCTTTCGGACATGTGGATGCAGCAGTGGGAACTTGATCGCGCCGCTTCTTGGGCGGCTCGGAAAGGGTGGTCAGTCTCAGCTTGAACCTACAGCATGGCCGCGTCACCAAGCCGTCGCCGACACCCTCCAACGAACGTAGAGTTTACCGCCAAGGCAGACCCGCGTATACGTACCACAACTTGTCGGTGGGCACAATAGCCACGTCTTCGCATACCGTGATTACCCACTAGTCCGAGATGTGGCGCGAAAGCCTATGACTGGTAGCGGGTAGGACCGCAACTGTACACGTCCAAGTCCTGTCGCGGGCTGCCCAGTGCCATCATTGTGAAGCTCGCGCTCGGGGCGGTCCAGGGCGTCGGTGAGGTACATGCACTATGACCCGGCAGTATCCTGGTGTCCGTGATAGACTGCAGAAGAGTTCCAAATTAGCCAAACAGACTGTTTGATAGAAATGTGGTGGAAGTTATGATACCTTGATCGGAATGTAAGGCCTCAATATTAATGGTCGGTAAGCACCTGAAGCTGTCTACCTAGGGCTTCGCCCTCAGTGACAATAAAAGGAAACAACAACAACAAGCACCTGAAGTGTATCAGGTAGTACCCACTAGTTCGATGCAGTACGCAATTGTCCGAGACCTCAGGCTGTCTAGTTTCCGGACTCGAGTCGGAGTACTCACGTCGTACTGCAGTCTGGAACCGAACTCACCTGCGTCCATCAATCAATTGATCTGGTGGCCCGAATCCTGCATTCAAGTTGCCGCGTTTGGAGCGAGGCCACAATATTCTAGCAGTGCAGTGCTTCCCGGACGACTCGGACGGGCGCTGTGACGTTGAGCGCCGCAAGGTCCTGGTGGGATTCCAGCTCACGTACCAGCTGCCATCGTCGCACCGAGACAAGGGTTCGTTGTTCGATGCCGGAAGGAGAGTCAACAGACGTCCAACGCTCCGGACGGGCGCTCACGATGCTTACCATATCGGGCAACAAACCTTCCTTCTCTGTCAAGTCGAATGCTCGTCTTTCAACGTTCAACCATCACGTTGCTTCTCGTCCATCACGCGTATTCTCGAGTCTATTTCCCTTGTCAGATTTCGGTTTCGAAAGTCTATATCTCTCGCTGTCTCTCCCTGCCACATTTTGTTTCTATCGTCTCTCGCTCGCGCTGCATGTACTTAAACCGGGCTCAAGTGTCCGTTTCCCTATCCAAACTCTCCCCCGCTCGACACTCTCGCTCGTCCGCTCCTCGTTCGTGTCACTTGCGCCTCCATGTACGCGGTCTCACCCTCGCGCCCTTGAATTCAAGTTGACGATGCGTCGCCTTCGCGCGGGTGAACGCTTCGCCATCGAGATCAGGAAGTCGTAAGCATCCCCTTGTACCCCGCGATCAGTCTCTTCAGTCTCTCACATGTCTGCAACTTGAACCAGGTCTGATCAAATAGCTTTTGTCAGATGCTTGTGCTCGAAGCTCGCGCAAGGTTATGGACGACCACACTGTCCCCACCGGTACGTAAGATGCGCACGGCCTTGCATCACATTCCCTTTACGAAGGACGCCGCTGGGCTATTCTAGGCTGAAGTTTGCTTGTGGCGGTTAATAAATGCAGAGTTCATCATCATCATCATCATATTCTAGGCTGAACATCTGTCGATGACGAGATTGTATACGTTCCGTTTTTGAACTGGACTTCCATGTCTGACCGCTCGGTGTTCCAGGGTGTTCCCTTCAGTTCTGCGACAGAACTGCTGCAGCGCATGGACCACGTCGCAGCATAGCACTGCCTGTCACAGCCTCCCTGGGCCAGTGTTGTGAGCACATCCGAGTCTCAGTTCCCGGCGGCAGTGTGACACACTGGTGACCGGACGCAAACCGCCAAGATAGGCAGGTAGCGCTGAGATCAGGCGCCTCGAGGTAGCCGAGGTGAAGCTCGACGCGTTGATTGGCTGCAGGGAGCGAATCCGTTCTCGGGGGCCTGGGCCTGGCTGGGCAGGACTGGCATCGAAGACTGCGTTCCTGAACACGGACAGTCGCCGGGAGACGCGGACGTCTTCCACCCGTGGGGGCAACCCAGGGACAACAGACTTCGCTGCTACGCCCATGTCACCGTCTGCTCGCTCTTAACAGCAGTCACCGCTCGTCTCAGCGCTCCTGCCAACTTCAAGTCTGTGAGTGCCCTGCTCTCCCGCACTCTACTTACATACTGCGCTCGGAGGCGGCGGTCGGGTTTCACCTCTGCCAGCCCTCGCCCCGTGTTCGTTCCAGAACACTAACTGCTTTTGTTCGCAGGTGCTGAGTTGGTGCTTGCATCAACGGACCAGCCCGCACTCACCATTCCTTTCGGATCACACTCGTTCAAAAACAAGCAGCGCCCCATCGCGCGCACTCGCGAGGTCTACCCTCCTTCCTCCTAACGATTGCTCATGTTCACGCCCCCGCCCTCGCCCGACCCGCCCCGCACGCATCGTGGCCACCATGAAGCCAGATCCTCACGTTCGTTCGATATCCCGGCGGAGCCCTACCTAGCCGCCACGCGATCGAGCTCCCCGGCGACGTCGTCCTCCCGCTCCAGCAGCCCGTCCCCGACCCCCGCCTCCTCATGTATGACCACGCACGACCGTGCAGGCGCCGTGACCTTCGAGAAGCTGCACGCCCGTGTCGACGAAGCGCAGCTCCGCGCGCTCATGAAGAAACGTCGCAACGCACGAAGATTGAAGTTCTCTATTCTGTTCGTGCCTGTCGCCCTTATTGTCATCACCTTGTCTACGCGATACATGGCGCACCCTGCCGTGCTCGACCTACTCTCTCCAGACGGGCCCGCGCAAGGGTGGCACGTGCTTGCGGCATCGGTACTCGACTGGCAGGGCACTGTCCACGAGGGGCACGACAAGCGGGAGGTAGAGTATGAGCTGGATCTGGGGGCTCGCTCGGTAACAGCGAGCACGACCTCGTTACGTTCCCAGTCTGACAGTGCATCCACTGTCTCTGCCTCAGCCACCGCGACGTCAATCATGACCGCCTCCGTGACGGGTTCCGGTTCGAGCGCAGCGCCGACGGCGACCACCGACAACTGGGCAATACCGTCCATACCCTCAGAGTCGGCTGTGCTCCCGACGCCATTCCCGCAGCCGTTCGACTCGACGGGGATCACGACGAACTTCTCGACGGATGGCTGCCGCGAGTTCTTCTTGAACATGACGCAGACGGCGCCGTTCCGCGAGTGCAGGCCCTTCTCGATGCTTGTGCAGCACTCGAGTGCGTTCTTCGAGGTGCGTTATTGATAGCCATCGTGTGTGCGGGGTTCCGCGAGTTCCGGCCATGGTTGGCGGGGACGTGATCGATATTGGGCTGGGATCGCACGCAGGAGCCGAGAGTCATATCTACAACCTCCCCGATGACAATGTGCAGATCTCTCCCGGCTCGTCATCGTCATCGATAGTCTGCTTCTCTCATGTCCGCTGCTCTTCTGGGTCCATAACTCTGTGTGGTATGGATGGCTGACATGCACGAACAGGCGCAGTCCAACCTCACGGAGTTGAACAGCATCATCTGGGGTACGTGCAACACGGACCTCAGCGTGGACCAGTGCGACGCGAATATCGCCTGGTTTGCGGATGCGCTCCAGGACGCGTGCGCGACGGACCTAGAAGCTAACAACGAAGTCGCCGCGAGCAGTCTCCTCGGTAGGTCCCTCCTTCTTCCCCTCCCCTCCCCTTGCTAACCCCGCCTCTTCTTCTTCATAGGCCTGCAAGCCTACTCGCTCCTGCGTGAGACCGCGTGCCTCGCCTCTTCCACAAACGCGTACTGCTACTTGACCGCGTTCGGCGCCGGCGCGCACCCCGCGGACGCGTACTACTACACGCTCCCGCTGGGGGCCTCGCTCCCGAACGCGAGCGATCCAAGTTGCTCCACTTGCACACAGGGCGTCATGGCGGAGTACGTTACCCATGGGCTGAACACGAGCGGCCTGCAGGAGACGTATGCGGCCGCGGCCGTGCTGACGAACCATGTATGTGGCACGGGGTTCGTGCAGGAGATGGAGGTGAAAAGCAATGCGGCGGGGCGGACGTGGCGCGGAGAGGAAAGGTGGTGGACGGCCGTCGGCATTAGTGTTTGTGTGATGAGTGCGATGGTTGGGGTGAGCGGTGTGTGGTAGGGTAGGGGTGAGTGAGCGACGGTGTGAGTCTTTCGCTGCACTTGCGTGGTTTCTCGGAGGGCATTCTTCTTTCGGACCTGCGTTACATATCGGCGGGGGTTCTTTTTGGTTGACATTTGGGCTGCGAGGACTTTGCATGTTGTGTTTAGCTAAGTACTTACGTCGGCGCCACCCGCCTGCTGTTCGCAGCGCGGGAGCGTGCTCACATCTGGTGTGGGCTTTTCGTCGCGCGTCGCGCGTTCATTCATTCTTTTAGCTGCTTCCACGCCCATACCTGGCTGCGTTTGCTATCTTATTATTCGTATATTATTCGTCGAGTAGTTTCTCTCTTACGGGTTTCTCTCCTGGTTGGCAGTGGCTGTGGCTGTGGTACCGTCTATCGTAGAACATAAACGTCGATGACTCGGAACGGTACTTACAATATCACGAGCAGAGATGCTTGTTGAACGTGATCGTCTGAACGTTGATTAATTGTTCAGT